TTTATAATATTTAAATAATTATTAATAGAATTATATTAAAAAACCAATTTCAAAAAATTATGAATCACACTGTATATAAGTAATTAATATTGAATTTTTTGAAATAATATAATAAATGTTATTTTTTTTACAATACATATTTTTATATTATATTATAGAAATCAAATAATAATATTTATTTATTTACTAAAAAAAACAATAAATTATAAATTTTTATTTTGTTAAAATATATAATATCAAATGAATTTGATAAATTTATAACAATTAATTAAATCTATAATTTATAGTATAATGGTAATCTTTTATAAGTTATTGAAAAAAAATAATTACAAAATTAAATATAATTATATTATATTAATAAAAAAATTATATAAAAATTTTTTTTTTAAATTTAATCATTCTTGAAAAATTTATTAATTAAAAATTAAATTAACAAAAAAAAGTAAAATTAAAATAATAAATTTAAAAAATCTATAATAAGCTTTTTAATGTTAAATTATTTCCAGTAAATATTTGTTTTAAAAAAAAAATTAATTTTAAAAGAATTAATTCAAAATTATAAATAATTATAAGAATATATTATTTTTTTTATGATTTAAGATACAAGTATTTTTTTTATTATCAAATATTATATATTATTATTATTAATTATTAAGTTTTTATATTTTTCTTAAATGTCAAATAATATAAATCAAACAGTAAAATCTTAATACATATATTTTTATTAATAAATTTTAATAATATAATTATAATTCGACAGTTAAATGACTTGATTTAAACTAATCATGTTTATATTAAATGATTAAAATTTAAGATTTTTTTTAAAAATAAATAAAAATAATAAAAATAATAATTAAAATAAATTTAAATTTAATTCAAATTAATTGAAGTATTGTATATACAGTATTTGTATAGATAATTATAAAATTAAACAAATAAACGATAAATTCAACACTTGATCATAATTCGTTTTAATTTATTCTAACTGAATTATAAATGGTTTAATACTGATATAAGAATTTGGTTGACCATTTTTTTACTTATATACGGTATATACTGTAAATTTAAAATTATTTTAAATAAATAATCACGTTAAAATGGTACTGACCTGTGTAATGTACGAATAATAAAACAAATAAATTATGTAGTTAAAAATTTATAGGCTGCTTCTTGATTTATCGCGATATGATATGAATTCACAAGATTCACAGCCTTGGGGACACAAAGTTGCCACAGAAGTAAGTTGGATTTACAGTATGTACAGCGCAGAGGCAAACCTGTAATCATTAAAAGTATCCGTTAATCTTCACTCTAAATTTGTCAATGATCAACTCAAGATAAATATCATGAAACATTTGATTTTCATTTAAGTTTATCATTCTCTTTGCCTCTTAGCATCATAATTCCCAAATGTCGACATCAATTTTCAAACGCGTAACTTCCTTTTCTAATTCTTTACATTATTTGCATATTTTTTCATTTCCATGTGCGCCTACACGCCGAATTCCGATCGTTCCATTTATATTCACCAGGTGCGAACCGCATTTTTCACATCTACCAACATTTTCTAACTCGACCGTTCGTCAGTACAGTTCTGTACACGGAGAACTGAGTGAAGTACGAGAGGAATTGCGAAAACTTGGGTACTCTTTGAAATATATATATATATATTATTATTATTTGCATCAATGAACAATTCATCATTATGTTTGTATATCGTAATAATAAACTTGATTTAAAAAAAAAAAATTAAGTCACGGTACGGTAGAATTCAACCCGTCATTCTCTCCGGGAATCGGTCTGATCACGCTGCAAAACGTCGAACGGCGTAATGCCCTCAGCGGAAGGATGATGGCACAATTGGCCGATTTGGTTGATAGATTAGAAAGAATTGTGAAGGGTGAGACTAGTGTTCGGGAAGAGGAAGAACTAGTAGCGTTGATATTGACGGGGAGTGGAAATACATTTTGTTCGGGATTCGGTAAGCCATGTGACTTCTTGGAGATAGAAAACGAGGAAGTGATAATATTATTAAGGGTCAATTTACCGGAAAAATTTATAAGATCTGAGTGTAGCAAAAGAACATATTTTGACCTCTGAGAATGGTGCCAAGATGAGTTCTTTAATGCAGGACACATTATTCCGGTTTAGTCAACTACCTCTGATATCAGTTGCTGCCATCGAAGGTCATGCTCTGGGAGGGGGTGCAGAACTTTCAACTGCATGTGATCATCGGTGTATTTCGGGTGTGTGTTCTCGTTTTAAAATTCGTCTTCAAAAGTATTCTTCCAGAGATTAATGCAATCTTCATGCCATGATAGATACAGCAAAAGTTCGATTTGTGCAAGTAAAGATGGCGACCACGCCTGGATGGGGAGGTGGAGGAAGATTAATCAAGATAGTGGGGAAAACCAGTGCATTAAGGATTATGGGGGCTAGCGTTCCGTTGACCGGAAAAGACGCGTTGGATGTCGGTTTTGCAGACATCCTAGCCGTAAATAACGAATCGGTTTTGGATAAGTCTATAGAGTACTTGGATCCTTATGTGTATTTTTTTGCGCAAAAGGAGGGGGAGTCGGTTCCCGAAAGGAGAAGGAATTCTGTTCGAGCGGTAGTTTATTGAATTTGGCATCAATTTTATTATAAAGTTTTTGATTAACAGAAAATTTTTTTTGCGGTATATAGGTACGAGGGATTAAAGCCATAACTGCACGGGCAGATAATGACGAAGCGCATAAAGAATTTTTAAGATGGGAGCATCGCTTATTCGCTGATTATTGGGGACAAGAAGAAAATGTTGCTGCGGTAATCGGATCGTCGAAAAAGGAAGGCAAATAAAATGTTATCGTGTATGTGATGTAATAATAAACGCAAGGGCAATCATTGCGTAATTGACATTCCGAAATGCTTGTTAAGGAAGTGCGTTCAACATTTTAAATGTTGAAAAATGGATTGTCTCCCATTAGCACTAAAAGTACGTGTGAAAATTCCGGATTATCATTAGCTCAAATATTTGAATGTTTGACATTCACCATAATGGGTTTGGATATGCTGCACGCACATACATTACTAAAGTAGATTTATTTGTGAATCCCCGTTACTTTTGTTGATCTTGAAATGGGTAAAGAAATCAGAGGAAAATGCATAGAGCGCAGGCAACTAAATTCGGTCATCACCGGCACAGCCCTTCGATTGGAAACATCTTTTTATAGCAACACGCTGCGAACTTCTTGAATACAAATGGAAATCTTAAATTAAGGGAGCGCACGCTCCACTTCCATCGGTTGCCTCATTCAGTATGTAAAGATTGGTTTCGTGTAATGGTTGTGTTAAATTTCCAGTATAAATAAATATCCATGCAGTGTCAAGTTTGATGATGGTCATGCATGTCACAATCATTTATAACTAAAAGATGTATCATAACTTAGATCAAAAGTTATTTCTTGAACCGTAAACATCAGCCACCATTCTTTACAATTTCATTTTATACTCGCCTATCGTTTGTTCAATTTTTTTCAACTCTCTAAAATGTCCGTTAGACAACACATTAATCTTAAGGTTTACGAAAATAACGTTTTGAGCGGGTTTCTCTTGGTTCGACCGGTGTGGGTTGACGATGAAACCGTCAAAACATGTAAAAGTTGTGGAACCTCTTTCACTCCTCTCCGGAGAAAAGTAATTCACTTGTCATTTTGTTTGGTGCGCTGAGAACGAATTAGTCAATTAATTCAATTTCTATCTTTTTTTTTTCTGATAAAAAGCATCATTGTCGACAATGGCAAGTTGTGAGATGAAATCGAGCATATCTTCTCTCTCCTTCCATTCCGATCTAACGAATCATCATTTTTGTATTGTATTCAGCGGAAATATTTTCTGCCAGGAGTGCACTTCACGAAACATTGCACTACCTCAGTTAGGCTATGTGAAGCCAGAGCGAATTTGTAACGGATGTTTTGAGATTGCATACCTTGTCGGCTACATTGTTTCGGAAGATAAATCGACTCAGGTGAGTCTTAATTAGTGATTGTGATCTAATGACAATTAGCTTAACGACGATAATTTTATCATTATTAGGCACACGGTGCTAGAGGATTGTTGGACATTGTTGAGCGAGGGAATGGTGATTATTCTACCTGCCTTCTTTGAACATCAGTTTCAGGCTTAAGTGTGCGGGATATGACCAGTTATCTAATGAACAGAACTTTTGAACCGGTAGAACAAGAATTGTCAAATTTCATAACCTATGGAGGGCTAGATGCACTGGTATACTTGTGTCGAACCTCGCAGTCATACGATCTACATTACTGGGGAACAACAGCCTTGGCTAATATTTCTGGATACGGTATGCCCTGTCCCTTTACCTTTGCGCAACCTAAAATCACACCTACCTACCTAACTTCATTGTTTAACCATAGATTCTCTTAAGCCATATATCATCATGAAAGGGGGACTTCAACATTTGTATAATCTTATCTTGCTTTATTTTGAAAAATCGGAATCTTCGGATACGTCAATCACCATAAAGATTATGGATCACATTTCATCTATAGTTCAGAATATCGGAAATATATTGTACTGCTTATCCATCACAGGTTAGTTAAAGACGATGTTTCCTTTTCCTTTGTAATATTCCAATTCACAGAATCATTTTTCGATGATATGATCTTTTTATAGATTCGCTATGTAGAAGAATGTTACCTGATGAGGCATCGTTGGACGCAATCCTTAAACTAGCAAATTTTCAGATTGGAAACATTGTTGATGACGACGACGAAGATGAAACGCTTACCTCTTATGAAGAAATGAGGCTTCGCGTAGAGCTAGCGCAGGCCCTAGCATCAAAAACCATTTCGAACCTTGCTAGCAATCATTCTCATCAACTTTTGATAATCGAGTCTTCTACGGGAGCATTGGATCGTTTGATGAGTTTGTTGCGATCAAACGTCTATGAAGTGCGGAAATATGCAGCAAAATCAATTGCATACATGTCACTTAGAAATGATAAATACAAATCAATCTTAATTAAGAACGGTCGAGCTGAGATGCTCGCTTCCGTGGTCGACGTCGAGGACGAAGCATCCGCGAAAGCTGATCAGGTCACCATTTCTCATTCATGTTGCGCGATGGTAAGCTTCGACTTCTTTATCTTGCTTCGTAAATAGCGCAAGTCATCAATCTAACTTTGATAAACATTCGCGTGTGCTAGGCAAACCTGGCAACGAACGGTATTTGGAATAGGATTTTCATCAAATTTCTTCTTCCTTGAAATTCTTCACTCACTAATTCTTGAATTTACATTCATAGCTGAATCTCAGCAATTCCTTATTCGTCAACCTAATTTGCTGTCAAATTTGTGCAAGATGGTCAAATATTTTATCACAGATAGGGAGGTTCAACGGCACATAGCTCGACTGCTAGCAAACTTTGCATTATATGATGAAAATAAAATGAGGATGTTGGCATGTCAAATAATTTCCGTCGACGATTATGACATGAATCAAAGTGAAGAATCCTGGGGAAGCGTCATTTCCACACTGATTGCCATTGGTGATTCCCCAGTATCAGATGTTGAGATTCATCGTCACATCATTCGTGCTCTTGATAATCTTTCGACCGAAGGTATGCGTGAAAATTACCAATTGTATCATATAAAACACGTCCTGACATATCCAAAACCCGATCATTTTAGTTCCGTCCGGTTCGCTTTCCAAACTGAGTCCTTGCATACCTCTGATAAATCGAATATTGGAAACGGTTAAGGATGAAGATATTCGTAAACGAGCTGCACACGTATTAAACAAGTTAACTCATCCACCCTCATTATTAGTCAACGGTGTTGATGGTTCCTCTGATCAACAACAGAAGCATTGTAATGGCAAAGGCTCGCAGGAATCAGGGTCAGACTTTTCCGATCAAAATTTAATTATCTTTGATGATGGGGACACTCAACAATCGGGGCTGACCGATGATTCAGCTTCGTCATCATAACCACGAACAATTACACGACATAGTGGAACGAACGAACAGACTCAAAAGTTACGATTCAATTAAATTTTAATCGAACAAACTTTTGTATTGCAAAAGCATTTTCATTATTATTAGTACCGCCTAATTTCATCACGAAGAATCTCTTCACAGACTATATAAAAAAATAGTTGCTTTTAATTACAAGGATTCAATTTAGGAGTCGTTTAATATAAAATGGTCGATTGAATAGTGTATTAAAAGAAAAAGAAAAAAGGAGAGGAACGTGTAGATTAAGCCGAAAAAAAAAAAATTTTTTTGTTCGTCACGTTTATTCTAGACCATAGGTCCACAGCGCGTAAAGAAGCGTTGCATTCAATAAGATGTTTAAAAAGTATTGTATTTATTACTTTGGATAATGAATCTTTAAATATATTATACATCCCAAAGGTAGTCTTACTATTTTAATCATTAACGAAATAACAAGATAACCATTCATCAGGTGTCACAATAAACCCATTAGATATTTTAACTTGAATTTAGAAATTTTCCATTACTCTCTAAAACATGAAAATCGAAATCACTAGAACAGAAGCTAACCAGAATTTTCTGGTGAAGGTAACTCCCAGATTGCTATTGCTCGTTACGCCAGCCGAAGGCGTCACGACGGATTTAATGATGGTTTGAGGTGAAATGGATCGGGTTGGAAGAATAGTATCTAACCGGAAAGTGGAACTGAGAGGCGAAGAATTTGAGGAGGTGGTGGTGGTGGTGGCTTGGTTCGTAGTACTTGGTGTAGGGCAGATTCGATCTAAGGTAAACTTGATTTGTAAAAAGGAGGTTGAGAGTGAGATTCGAGCGGGAAATGAATAGACGATTTATAAATCGGTACCTTGTAAGCTTTGGCCTCATTCACGATATCAACATCATCCGTACATTGCAAGAAACACATGTTTATCGCTTTTTTGAAAGAAATCGAAAAACTTCTTAACATTGCACAGCATTCACCCGGTTTCGCATCTCCCTTCTCTTACCTCTATAAGAATTACACTGACAAACGAGATCGATCGGCGAGCACGCGGCTTTCATTAGATCCCCTTGCAACCTACACTCGTCATAGACTGCTTTATTTACGCAACGAGCTTTTACAAACGGTAATATCAGAATAGGGAATAAGACTATAACGAAAGTTATGATCAGCGGCGATTTTTTGGCGTACATTCTTATGCTTGCATTCTTCTTAGGAGGGTAACCATAGAAGGGATGCTACGAAGTGGTTTAAATATGTCTGCTACATAAGCTTTTTTAAATTTCGCCGTTCTGTGGATTTTTTATTAATATGACGTGTTACTCGTAAACTTTATTTACTTCACGCGGCGGCGAGATAAATTACGCGAAATCGGCTATTACTGATCAAGATATATGACCTAATGACACACACGAGACGCTTTAATTAATTTCCGCCTTTGACATGCCGTGGCGTATGAGATCTTGATTTATTGTTTCATGAGGAATGAATGAACGACAAGATTCATGAATCATAGTTCGGTTAGAAAACTTTAATATGTCTGCTGTAAAATCCTAAGCTCTTCTCTTGTAAAAATTCTTTACCAGAAGATATTTCACCTTTGAGCCATTGCGCATCGCATCAAACACGTGAATTCTTACATTTAAGGGTAACAAGGGATAATATTTGATTTGTTTAAAAAACGAATGAAACGAGTCGAGATGTTCATCAAATTACAACATTCCATCTGGAACGCCCATGATTTTTTTCTGCGGGACAACTCGCCGATTCATAAAGTATGATGGATGTCTTTATTATTGCATTGCATAATTGCATATGATGCACATTTACTTTGTTTTTTTAAACAGATTTTTCTGACACACGAATCACAAACCAATTCGCAGGAATATGCTTACGTACGCACATATGTACATATACAGAGTTGAAAATTACACACGTGAACCGTACTACCCGCTGGATCACCCGCTCCGGAATTCCTGTCGTAAAAAAAGACATTTCCAAACTTCTAACCCAACCTGTAAATTTCATAGAAACTATGCATACATTCATCTTTGGTTCTTTTTAATGTTACGCAATATAAATAGGTTGCAATTCACGAACCCTCCGAATTAACTTTTTGGGTATGAACCCCTGTGTGGGCAATCTTCAGCGCGCTTCCTTTTGTCATGTACCTACGGTATCACATAGTTCGTTTTGGCGTGATCCCTTTGTCACGCGGCCTGAGTCGGTAGAGGAGCAGTGGCCGGAAGGGAATTCCGAACCATCGTACAACCATTGTAGTAGTTACAGTTACAGAACGCATAAATAAATTCCGTTTTGGTATTTTTTGCTGGGCGATATAAGATATATAAATATCGTAAGGGAATGAGTTCATGGATTTGAAAATTTGTTGTGCCTTGACTCGCCGTTTCTTGCTTTGAATCTTTACACAAATCTTTTTTATATATACATATTTATCTCTTTTTTGATTTGAAATCATCCGCACTATATAACGAACGATAGATTAACTTCTATCCTATTTCTTTGTATCAATCTTCCTATCCTTCTTATCATCACAATTATTATTTGCTTTTTTTTTATTAGTATTGTTGTGCATCATTATCATCGTTATTTTAGCCTCCAAAATTTCTTATCAAGTTATTTTATCATTATCATATAAATATTGGTAAACAAAAGGATGAATCAAAGTGTAGATGGAAGTCAAGTCACGACTGGAAATTCTCTCAAATCAGGATCCTCGAATCCTCAAAATCATGACCCCCAAAACTCCAGTACTATCCTTAATGAAGAATCCCCATCATCATCGTCGTCAAATTCTGTTGCTTCCAGAAGTAGAACGTTCTTCTCGAGGAGACCACGACCTCCAGAGGTTCTAACGACCAGAATGATACAATTGGATGAATCCGATCCTGAATACATTTCCATCAAGGAAGGTTTCAAATTTAATGCAAACAGCATGAAAGCGAACATTCTAGCAATAATGAAATTACAAATGCCAACAAAGTTGGAAAGGGCTCACGAGAAACACAAGAGAAAGATGGCCAAAAGGTTTGGAAAAAGGGAGGAAGAGGTTACGCGCAGGATGCATCATGGAACAAAGAGTTTTACTGGATGTGACCTTATAAGGAATTTCGAAACAGATGAAAATAACGACAATGGTATCAACGGTAGCACTGACAGTGCGGAGGGGAGCACTAGTGGAAGTACCGGGGGAAACTCCTTGAAGACGAAACCGAATTACGATCCCACCTTTTGCAAAGAGAATTGTGGCGTGTGTGGAATTGCACAATGCGGTAACAAGAGAAAGTACGCCAGAACAAAATCTTTGTTCCGAAAGAATAGTAAGTACACATGTACTCGCTCATTCATTATGAAAGTATTACACGCGGTGTTCTTAACCTCCAAACTTATCCCCCCAGGAATGTGGTTTGCTAAAGACCCGAGTGTATCATTAGGTTTTTGTAATTATGGTTACAAGGGTATAATCAAAGGCATGTTTATCGTGGACGTTGTAAACAAACTTGATGATCACATCATCATCACGACTAAAGAAAAGGTGCGTGGATTATTTTTTTTATCCTGATCATCCTTCTTTCTTCCTTTCTTTTCCAGAATCAATCGACATTTCTTTGAATAGGCCACACTACCGAGATATTTGGTCATATTCGAAGTTCCGGTAAATCCTTTTTCATATGAATGCTAATCGGATTCCTGTTTGTCACGTGACGTTTTAATTCTCGACTCGGATTTCAATTAACTTTGTAGCTGGCCTTACATTAGAACTTAGAGAGTAAGATTATCATGGATGTTATATGAGCAAAAATGCTTCATTCATATCATCTATACACGACACTCATTTAACCTGTGAAAGTTCAGTATTGAATATTGAATTTTTTCTTTTTCCTTTTTTTTTTTTTTTTTCTTCGAGGTAAATTGTTGATTTTAGATGTAAATGGTGACTGGATGGGTTTTGGGAATAAATTGTATTTTTTGGGATTCGGGTCTACGTATTCGCTTGTTTCTTGTGTCAAAAAAAAATCACGAAACCGTTCACATGATATGATTTCAAAACTAAAATTGCGATGAACCGTGGTATAAAATTATTTTTTATTACTGCATATATACATCAATCATTATTACTGTGACCAAAGTTCATTTATGTTAACCTGGTTGATCGATAAGATGTGCCAACCTGGTTTAACTCGTGATCAAATGTTATTTAGTCTGGTGAGACACAAATCAGGAAATCTTGATTTTTATATTAAGTCGATTGTGACAAAAATTTTCCATCACCTACGAATCAATTATTTCATATATATCATGATACGTGAGTGATCGGTGTTGTGTGGCATCAAAAACAAGTTAGAACATTCATATCGATTATACAATGAGCTGATGGAGGTGAGAATGTTTGAACGTTTAAAAAACATGCATCTAATACCTTGTTGAATTAACGATAAGTTGATTATTATCACAAAATGACAATCACATGCTCAAGCAAGCACTCAATCTCACCTGTTGTTGACCCAGATCAAAAAATTCTTCCACCTTATCCCAGTTGCCAGGGCGGTCTGACCACTCGATTATTTTCGTTATTGAGGGATTTCAACCGACCAATTTCTTGCGTCTGTTGTATAGTGATCTGTGCCAAACGAACTTTTTCATCGGCGAGCCTTCTCATGTGCTCACCTTGAGCCATGATCTGATTATTCAACTGGAACAATTGACTGTTCAACCCTTCTATGCGATTATTTAAAATTGCGATGGAGCGAGACTGTTGTAAGTTTGATTTTTCAAGGCGACCCTTTTCCAATCTCAACGATTGGATCTCTTTTCCCTGTGATTTCAATTTTGCGTCAGCTTCATCCCTAGATTTCTTGGCATTTAAAACAACCCTTCCATTGAGAATATTTAAGGTAGCTATCTGTTCTTCCAGATTCTTATTATCCTCTTTCAATCTTTCATTTTCTATTTTTAACAGATCAATTTCTTCCTGCTTAACGAGTATTCCTTTTTTTCCGTCCGTTAATTCCTGTTCGCACTGATTTTGTAATACTGTCACACGTTCCCGTAACCTTGAAAGCTCATTACCATTCGAGCGCTCCAGTTTCTGTTGTAGATCGATTATTTCAGCCCTGGCGGATGATAATTTCTTATTGGTCAAATTCAGTTGTGCACGCATTACTTCGTTCGATTCATCCCGAAATACTGCCATCTCCTCGGACACATTGGTTTCCTAAAAAGCTCAAAAAAATAGCCTAATCAGGCACGCGGTTGTCAATCGAATTTCATATGTTCTTATTCAAAGAATATATCTTACTATTGTAGCTTCCTCGAGTCGTATTTTTTTTGGATCGATGAGATTTTCTGATTCCTAGGAAAAAAAAGGTGCATACATATATGTATATGTAACATATATATATACACGTTCTCGTCAGCAAAAATCAATGTAAGCATTGCAAAATGTGTGGTTTCTTACTGCTTGACGTTTCATATTCCGCTTCGTCTTAGAGTCTAGATTTATCACGTTATCAACTTTCGGTTTTGATATAGTTGTCAAACCTAAAATGTCATTAGAAATCTCTACAGCATCTACGTCAAAATTCTTATAAATACCGGGTACACTGCTACCGAACCAATCTTTTTTGTTCCCATTGTACCCAATCTCTTCGATCCATTCCTTAACCCTCTCTTCCATTCCGAATGATAAATCACTCCAACCCATCGAATTCACACAATCTGCAATCTTATTACAAATTTCAGTGAATTTATGATTCTTATAATGAACGCCAACAGTCATCTCGACATTTTTCCTACTTGTACCAAAGAAAAATATCTTTAAGAGTTTTTCAATAGGAAAGATATTCAAATAATCAACTTTGTTGATCAATCCATAAACGAGCACATGCTCTATGGAATCGATGGTAACAAGTCGAAGAATTGGAGTTTGTAGGTTGTGCATTGAAAAGTAAAAATGCTTTTCGGGCTCGAATGACGTATCACACGCAATGACAAGGTCCAATTTGGGCTGTTTAGGCAAAACGGGTCATATTAATCGCTGAAAATAATCCGAAATGAAAAATCTACAATAATATCTTACCATCACGTTAGGGAGATGATTTACAAAATCTGTCGAGAAAAGTATGCAGAATGATTCTTTTTCATTTGTGAGATCTTGTTTGTAAAGATTTTCATGATAATTATTTCGATCATCATTAATGATCCCGTATTTTTGGCTACACCTGTCCATGATCAGTATCATAGTGTCCTTGAGAATAAAAGAAAATAAATGGTATGATGGTGAAACTCAAAAAACGAAGTGTCACAATTAATATTACCATCGCTTGACCGGCTGAGACGGCGACACCAATCTTTATTGGAAATATTCTCAAGTGTCGCAATAAACTCTCTAGCATCCTCAACTTTCCGGTAAAGAACATGACCTTCCGATCTCTGGAATGAAATGGCAATGAGTTTCTTTCCTTTTCTCCTGGAAATTCATTGTTAATAATTTGAAGATAACGATTAATCGCCACCCTTAAAGGTGAATCGTCATTTGGCTTCTCTTCAGCAGGTATCTTCTTCAGATAATAGGATAAGTTAACATCAGTGAGCTCATTAATGATCGAGTCCTGTTGAGTTCCAGATAACGGACATGGTATCATTATTTCATCAGCCCCCCAAATTGGATAATTAGGTGGTTTTGAGGGTACAAGCGATAAGAATCGATCCATTGTGTTATTATCCTGATTTATTGAAATATTCGTTCGCATGTTCTCTCGTTGTTCCATGAGGTATTTTTCAGGTAAAGATAACGCGGGCCTGCGATCATACAAGGCTTCATCGACAGGATCAGCTCGTTGTTTTCCCTTACCGACGTATGTGGGTTCGGGAAGGGGTGTATGAAAATTTTTATCTAAGGAAGAATCGGATTGATAATCGTCCTCAAAACCTGGAACCTTCCTCATGAAAAATGAGGGGCCGGCCGAGTCACTTGTGTAGGAGTTCCTAAGATAATTTTCGACTTTTTCTATCGATGTACTGTCCGATTCGGATTCACTCGACATCAAATATCCATCATCACTTTCCACCGCGTCGGTTTCCATATTCAAACAAAGACTTTTATGTAAGCTACGAGATATTTTCCTTTATATTTTCCAAATTTAAAATATGTCGCGTTATTAGGCGTATAAGTTTTTTGTCAATCCATTTCAAAAGCGCGTAAAACAAAGATAAACCCAGGTCTCTCATTTTCAACACATTCTTACCCTTGCTAACGGTGCTTAAGTATTGGTGTAAAGAAACTATCACCATACGTTATTGCCACACCGAAATATTTTTATTAACATGATAGCCTATCAAATCATTGGACCTTGTAGTACAGTGATCGCCAGCACGTTATGTAGATCAGTCATTTCTCGTTATTGAAGAAAACAAGCAAATAGTAGAATTAGGTAAGACTACGAGACTACGTTAGAAAGATGTACAAATTTGTCATCAGCTGAGGTAAACCCAAGAAAATGAATCTGTAAGTAGCTGTGTATTCTTTCGTACGCAGCCAAACTATGGGTCCCTTTAAAGTAACCCCACGAATAATATAAGCACAAATGTTGATTTTATTTTTTACTAAAGCTTACAGGAATCCATCATTTGCATAACACATTACACTACCAGAAATTTGTGAATAAAATGCCAAAGTATAATTCCTACGAAGATGTGTGTAAAAGAATAATAATACAGTATATTGGAAAATACGAATCACGAGTTACACATACTGTAAATCATATACAACTGATTGTACGGCGTGTTTTTGCTTTAGATGACGACTAAAATTACTTTTATATCCGAAACGTTTTCCGCATCCCCCAAATAAACATTTGAACGCTAGAAAGTTGCAAAGATAAATTAGTATTTAGGAATTTATCAGGTATTCGCTACACTACTATACATGAACGCTTTAAAGAAACTTGGACCTACGTTTTTCTCCTGTATGCGAGACGCCGTGAATTTGCAATGCGCATGGACCCGTGAAGGATTTTCCGCAAATATTGCATTTATGTCGTTCCTTAGCTATTTTTTCATAGGTATTTTGTTTATTTTGTTCCACGGATGTATTTGGAGACAGGAGTACCGTTGGGTGGGGGTACTTTCCGGACAACGCACCAGGTAATTGGTTTACTTTTACGTATGCATCACGTTCACTCGGTTCCATGGAAATAGAATACGAAGTTGTTTGACACAAAAAGTCTTGACCTTGTGAATCTTCAAACAATTCATTTGGTGATAGGCCAAAGTCGGTATAGGAATATAAAACTGTTGGGTTAAAAAAATCCGTTGAGCATTGACTCGGAAGATGTTGTTCATAGTTGCAAGGAAATTCACTACGAAACTTTGTAGCGTGTCTGGAAGAAATTTGAAAATTTCCAGGGTGTCGACTTTGAGAAGATTGTCCCAAGTTAGCGATATGGTTGCCAGAATAATCCGTTATTAATTGACCCTCATTGACTTGTCCCAAATTGTGGGTGTTATTTTCCAACAAATTCGGTGATACTTCACCAGAGGCATATGAGAATTGCGCGTCAAAAGTGATATTTGAAATTTCTGGACTAAATAACTCTATTGTGTCTCGAGTTTTTTCAAAATTGTATTGTTGTAATTCATCTTGATCTGAAACCTCAAAAAAACGATAATTATTCGTGAGTTTTGCCTGCGGCAAATCCGTTCTTAAACTTGATCCCAAGTCGCCGTGGTTACCAAAATTGTCGTAGACATCATATGAGCCCGATTTCATGTTGTAATGTTCTTGAAAGCTGTTAGGAGTCGTTGTAATGAGTAATTTCAAATGACTGAAAGCCATGAAAAAAACAATCGGCAGACAGAATGTGCTTTATAAATGAAAACCGCTCGACATTATTTAATATTTTGATCTTTATATCCAATATATATTAAAGTTTGAGTTTTGATAATCCCTTTCGGATTGCGTGAAGTAATCAACAAAAATCATTTCTCCTACGTATATTAATATCGTCATGTCTCAAAAACGGTTAGGAGTTACATCTCATGTCTCAAAAACGGTTAGGAGTTACATCTCATGTCTCAAAAACGGAAATGAATTACATTGGGCGACAGGTACATGTATGCGAGCGCGTATGAACAACCGATTTAATTTTGATCCTGGCGTATATGTATTTGGTTTCTTTATGAAATGTTTTTTGTGAAATGCTAGATCCTTTTGCGCAATGAGCGGCTTTAAATGAACTTGTATTTGAACCTACATACATTGGGACCGGAAAAATAACAACAAACGTCTCCTCACTGATAAGGGTTTGGTGTGACGAGCTGCTTCTATTCGTTCGATAAAAAAAAATGGTTATTAAAATATCCAGTGTCTTTTGTGAAATTTTAGAAAGATCCTTTATGGTAACAACTGATTCTTTAACATTATCTCTTATCCTCTATAAAAGCTATGTGCCATCAGTTTAGTATGATATTACACAAAGTCATTCAAAAGATATATAATCGATTTTATCATAATGTCCGAACATCGCGGAACGAAGATCAAGTGACTTAGCCTGCTTTATTGGTTCTTGCCAACATGTGGCGATCAGGCATTCATTCTCTTTTTTTTTAATTAAATATATACAAAGTGATTTTTGTTTTACTTACTAATTCATTTCCAAATATTTTTCGTGGTGCAGACATTATAATAAATAAATATCATTTCCAAATATTTTTCGTGGTGCAGACATTATAATAAATAAATATCATTTGGTAAATAAAACTAAAATCAAGTTATTATTGTCCTTTATTTGTTACACCAATAATCCTTATATAAAATTATAAGTTAACTTTATTTAAAAGATTAAAAAAGTATCTTTAAATAAATTTCGGTTATATAACCTTTTTCAATTAATAAATAAAATAAATTACATAAATATTATATATATAAACTTTTTATACTGTATATATAATTAATATAAAAAGATTTCAAATAAATTTAAAATAGTAAAAAAATAATAATTAATTAATAATTTTAAGTAATAATGAAAAATAATTTATATAATAATCAATAACTTGATATCTATTCAATGTTATTTAGTAATATATAACAGATTAATATTAGAATTATACATGTTTCCTTATTACCATAAAAGGAAATTTGATCGACAATACAATTCCAAATTAAATATGATTCCCAATTACTTACTAATTGTTATACATGTGGCATAAATTATTTTGCTATTGACTCAATTTCCAAAATTCTCAAAAATAATTGCGTCAAATAATTGCGTCAATTGCATCAATTGCATCAAGGATCTACAAATTTCAGCAACATGTATACTAATTGTTACTTAATAATACAAACATAATATGATTTTTGAAAAACATCTGAATTAAATACTAACACATGTATAATTAGAATTGTTATATTCTTTTTTTTTTAATTTTTGATATATATATGTTTTTTTTTGTAGGTAAATATCATTTCTTTATTTGATTTGTATATAGCATGGTATACATTATAAAAAAAACAACATCTCTCATATACTAGTAC